CGCGCCCGGGCCCCCGGCGCCTGCCGGTGCCGGGGAGGAGAGAGCGAGGTGACAGACACCGACCACGTCAGGCTGCCCCTCTGTGCCCAGAAGCCCCGAAATGTACAGGGGTTGCTAGTCTTTTTTTAATTTTTTGGACTAAAATGTGGTACTTGCACCTTTCTGAAGAAGGCCGCTCTTATGCACTTGGTGGCATGTGGTCTCTGAGCTAGAATGACACCAGCCCCTCTCTCATCCTCCCATTTGCATCCTCCCTCTTCCCCTCTTTACGAACCTGGACCAGCTGGAAACCAGCCAGGCTAAGGCTGAAGGACTGGACAGGAGCCATGCAAGTGGGCAGAGCGTGGAGGACGGAGAACAGAGGGCAGCTCCTGCAGGAGCAGCAGGGAGGACACTGAGCTCCTCACACCGGCCCCGGTGCTGCATGCTCAGATGCTGCCCAGCTCATCCAGGTTGCTGCTGCCTGTAGCTGTCTAATACCACAGCTGAAACCCATTTACCTTTTAAGTCCCAACACATCTAATAATAGCCCCAGAGCCTTTTTCTTTCCTCCTCCCAAGGTGAGATAGGTCCCTGTTCATCTCAACGAGTTCTCATCTCGTGTCGGGACCCAGTGCCCAGGCAGCTGGGAGCTGTGCTGGGAAACCTGGAAAGGCAGCAGAAAGAACAGGTAAAATCAGCACATACGCAGTTCCCAGAAAAAAGGTGAGCCTGCTGGGACTGGGTCAGAAATTAATTTCTCACCACAGGCTCCAAAAAGTCCCTGTGGTAGGAGGACGGCTGAGCCCTGCCACGGCGCTGGCTGCAGGGGAAGGGCTCGGGGAGGCGGCAGACGGCAGCCATGCCGCCTGCGAAGGGGAACAGAGCAAAATGCAGGCGCGTGTGCCTGGAGGTGACAAGGACCATCGCTGCAGATGGCAGTAGCTCCGTGCTTTTCCTAAGCCAGGATTGCAGTGTGCCCATCCAAACACGTGCCTCACTCACAGGCTGCAATTTAGGGCTTTGGCAGCCCTAAATTGTACGTACGGGCGGTGCTGTACGCAGCCCGACCGCTGCCCGCTGCGCCATCACTGCTGCTGCGCCATCACTGCTGCTGCAGCAGTTGGGGTCGGCTGGGGCTCTCGGCAGGCTCGTGCCCCTCACTGCTACCCTGTGGCTGCTTCCCGGGTCTCAGCCTCCCCAGCCAAACGTCCCTGCTCTGTCACAGTCACAGACAGCAGAAGTTGCTTTATCCAAGTCCGGACCAGCTTCTCCGTGTGCCCCAGAAGCCTGTTCAGGAGAGCGAAACCCAAACAAGTGAGAACCTGGCTGTGCTACTCTTTTGGCCTTAGCTAGCTCCCCTTACACAGATGAATGTGTCATTTCCAGATCAGCTTTGTCCACTTTGAACCCTCCCACTGGGCCATATCCTAATTTTGTTCCACCACAGCACAAGCACCTGGCAGCAGCCCAGAGCTGTTGGGGTTTTGGGGTTGGGAAGCCCAGTGGCACCCGGCCCTGACCAAGTGGCAATCTCCCCTTCCTGACCCACACCACAGCGAGCCTCCTCTGGAGGAGAAGGAAAAAAAGAGCCTTTGTACAGGAAATTTCTCATCTGCAGCTGGGTTGGGTCCAGACCGCGATTCCCCGGGTTCGCCCGTGGGCACACAGCCTGGCCGGCATGGCTGCTGTGCCCTTTGGCCCACATGATCCTCAGCTCAATTTTATCCCTGAATTGTGCCCTACCAGTCAAATTAAGGAAACACAGATAACGAGCCACTTGATAACGACTGACCAGCACGATAACCCATAAGCAGGGACGGAAAGGCATGGTTACTGCTAGCGGCGTTCCCCCTTCCTACAGCCCGAGCCGGGCACTAAGGGCGGTATATTTTAATAACATCTTTGATGACCCGTCGGCAGATTGGGCAGCAGGCGTTGAGCTGCTTCTTCAGCTTAAGACCGCAGGTGTTGCAGAGGCACATGTGTCCGCAGGTGTAGATCACCGTGTCCACCTCACTGTCAAAGCAGACGGTGCATTCCCCGTTCTTGCTGCATGATGGCTCCGGAGGGGGGAAGACGGGAGAGATTGGGGGGCTCAGGGGGGAGCTGGGAGCAGTCACTGCAGAAGAGGAGGAAGCAATGAGATCATTTAGTCACTGGGAGGGTGCAACCTGACACTGCACAACACACACACACTCAAGGCAATTTTTAAGGCTCTTCCTTCCTTAGTCATTACCTGGCTGGTTTGGCCAAACAAACGGTATTTTAATTGGTAGCACAGGTACAGCTCCGGGCAGAGCCTGCCATCCCCGTTCTACAGATGGGGCAAGCACAGCTCGCCTGGGCTTCCCCAAGCAGGGCTGTGATTTTGCACGCCCGTTTCATGGTGTGGGTGTGCAGAGCTCCGCTCTCCCCGAAGGAGCCGTGCTCCACACAGGGTGCTCCTGCGTCGCGCCAGCGCGGGCGGCTGCGGCACTGCACAACGGCAGCACGGGCAGGGGCCGGTGGCGGGCAGGGCACCCCAGGCCGTCTGG